AAACTGGAAGATTTATTTATAAATAATAATAATTTGATAAATTGAAATAAACTATGAAATTAACAGACCCCATTGCTTATTGGTTTCATTTTACAGATTTACTGTCAACAATATTACCAGACAAATGTGAAATATGATTGCTTTCCAAATATTCTTTATAAATTTTTATAATTACATTTGTAGAACAAAAATAATTGGAAATGAATCCAATTGTATTTTCATTTTTTTCAAAACACCTTATTAGTAATTTAGCGTGTATAATTATGTTTATTTCATCGAAAACTATCATTTGCCGTTAATTATAACTGCTCTGTTACTTATTAAAATTTTTCGGTGAAAATCAAATTTGATTTTTTTCCAGCTTTCAAAAAATGGGATTTTTTTATTTTATCAAATAAGTTCTTCAAAACTAATCAGAATGTCATTAAAGTATATACAAATGATGATTTTTATAGTTTAAGGGTGCTGGAAAAAATGAAATTCCCGTTGGAATAAATAAAAATGTTTGAAAGAAATTCAATTGGAATTTAGGACAGCATAATTCCGGGCGAAATACATGAAATTCCGCCGGACAAATGTTTTAAAATTGATAAAAATAGTAAAAAATGAAATCAATTATTTCTAATCAACCTTTAGTCTATCAGATGAAATGATTTTCAAGTGTTTATGCCAAGTTTCAATGGTAGTGAAGTTTGCCACTTTTCCGGTGGCGCAAAGACTTTCCGGTGGCTGTTATTTTATAATTACATTTGTAGAACGAACTGAAGACAAATTGCTAAAACATGTATCTTGAAAAACGCCTTAAGAAAATGTTATAAAGGAGTCTTAATAAGATATCTGAAATATGTTGTTTTTAACACGCAACAATACGATAAAGGATTAAACTTTTTCGCTCAAATCACTGAAAGCTTGTATTTGAGACACTGCCTGAGGAGAGTCTTTCTAACTCAATAACTTTATTTCTACTGATGCGGAAAAAGATAAGTATTGTGATATCTAATTTTTTAGTGATATATTTTCTCGTATAATAAATGAACAAAATAGACAAATAAATACAAATTTAGTGATATTCAACAGATATTTAAAAAAACACGAATAGAAATTATCTTACAGAATGTACAAGTTTATAGTATGTTATACATTTATGAACAGCCACCTGAAAATCTTTGCACGACCGGAAATGTGGCAAACTTCACCACCTTTTATACTTGGCGTATATACTTCAAAATCATTTCATATGATAGACTTAAGGTTGATTAGAAATACTTGACTTAACTTAGTGTTTTTTTTTCATATCAAACATTTTAGTTTAAAAAATTTTGTCTGCGCGGATGTTTATGTAATCCGCCCGGAATTATGCTGTCCGGGGAATTACTGAAATTCCAATTGGATTTTTTCAACATTTTTATTTATTCAAACGGGAATTTCAATTTTTCCAGAAATTTTAAAACTATAAAAATCATCATTAATATACTTTAATAACATTCTGAAAAATTATTCGATAAAACAAAAAAACAAAACAAAAAAAATCCCATAAATATATAATGTTGGAATGTAGTCTGATGATATACATGTAGATTAATATACTATCCAGTCCTAAGCTGATTTATTTATATTTTCTTTCCTATATACACAACATAATCGTTTTTTCTCATTTTCATTTCTATTACCGATTTCTCAATATATTTAACTTCATGCAAGCATCGACACATGTCATTAATTAGCTTAAAATAGAACTTTTTAATTCACTTCGAATCCTTTTGTTCTTGAATATATGATTTACTTAAATTATTATAGTGTTATAATTGTACGTGATAATAATATATATATATATTCAAGAAAGGATTAAGTTCAAGCTAAATTTGTCAGAACATTAAACAAAGAGAAATATATTTTTCCAGATTGACTTTATCAAATAACTTAATAAAACTCTTAAAGGCCCATTATGCCTCAGAAATATAGCAGTTTTATTTCTCAAAAACATTTTGTATTTTGGTATCTTGTTACAGTTTCCAAAAAAAGAAGAAAATACTCATTTGCCACATAGATAGACCATCTTTAATTTCATTTTCTCTGCAGGCAATGTGTATAATAATAGTAAATAAGTATTTTGTATGGGAGTCAAAATACTATTTTGTTAACATTCGATTCCCTCTTTAAAACATTACTGCATGTTAAGTGCAACTTTCTAAGCATCGAATATGTTACAAATCCATTGTTAAAACATTATCAAAGATATATTTGATATTTCTAAAGAATAAAGAATATGGAAATGTCTAACATTAACCGCTGTTTTTTTCAGTGTACTTAGAACAAGCTTTACAGTGTTTAAGCAGACCATTTTGACACATCTTTATTAATTTATGAGCTTTTTCCTTAGTATATTGTTTTTAGACACGCATCTTTTCATATACTTGTCCACAGACGAAACTCCACCACGAGAGTAAGTGACAGTTACAAAATTAATAAAGATAATAAATTTCTCCTATAAACAATAAATTGGCTGGAAATAGACAACTAATTAAAGAGCACGAGTAACATCATGTTCTTTCAACATCATTATGAACAAAGATTTTGCATGACTAGTCAGGTCGTTATATTTCTGAAAAATACATGAATTCATCATTTTTTTTATGTAAGAAAATGTAAAAGCGGGAAACTAGCTAACAGAGAATATTACTGAATTTTAATACCTTTATAATACGTATGTATTGTTCTTTATTTTTTAAATTATTAAAGATGAAGCATTGCACAGCCAAAACTTCATAAAAGTCAGAAATTCTTAGGTAAAAAATCATAATGGTGGTCAAATCCTAAAAAACTGTATCATTTAATCAAATTCAAAGTCAACAAAGCATTCTGAAGGACAGCTTAATCCCCTTCCGTAGTTAATAAAAATGTGTACTTCTTTACCTTTTACCAGCCACAACCTTGCTATGTCATGCATATCATAAGCACATAGTCTTACGATAATTATTGGTGCCATGTTATTTAAAATCTTCCATAAAGTAAAAAAGATATGGAGAACATATAACCTTGACATTGTGGGGAGCAACATGGATGTTGAGATTTGCAGATTATGTCATGGTGGTGATCATTTGTGCCAAGTAATTTTAAAACCCTTGAATTGTCAAAAAGTTATAGAGCGGACATGTAAATATATGTTTTAAATTGAACCCTTGAGTGTGACTCTGACCTTAAAGCTTGTGACTTGATTATTGTGATCTGCAAATGGTGTCATAATTGTGTTCATTTCTGCCAAGTTATTTTAAAAACATTGCAGCGGTTTAAATGTTTTGGACAGACACGAAGTATAAACTTTCTAACATTTGACCTGTACGTATGACCTTGACCTTGGGTGAAGAAATTCAATTATTGTGCTCTGCACATTGACCTTGGGTGTAGCAATTCAATTATTCACATTGTCTCATAATGGTGATCACTCGTGCCAAGTTATTTTTTAAAAAAAAACTTTTCAGCGGTTTTAAAGTTATAGAGCGGACACGAATTATATACCTTTTAATACTTGACCTTTAAGTGTGACCTTGACATTGGGGATAGCAACCCAAGTATTGCGCTGCGCACAATGTCTCATAATAGTGATCACTTGTGCCAAGCTATTTAAAAGAAAACAAAACAACACAACAACAACAACAACAACAACAACAACAGGGGTTTAAAAGTTATGAAGGTGACACGAAATGTAGACTTTTTATGATGAAATGAAGACATTTTTACAATTTTTGTGCTCTGCACATGGTCTCATTATGGTGAAAACTTGTGCCAAATTATTTCAAAAAAAATTCAGCAGTTTAAAAGGTATGGCGCGGACACGAAATGAAGACTTTTATTATGAAATGAACACATTTTAGCATTCATTTGACATTTAGGTGTGACCTTGACTTTTGGGATAGCAACCCAATTTTTCCACTCTTAAAAGTTATGGAGCGAACACAAAAGTTTTACGGACGGACAACGGACGGACAGACAGAAGCACAGACGAGCGGACTGACAGACGGAGGCCATTCCTATAATCCCCCCTTCTGCTATGCGGAAGGGGATTAAAAATGCACAACCAAAACTTCATTCACGACAGCCAAAATACTGAGGTAAAACAATAACATATCTTGAAAAATTGTATAATCTTATCCAATTCAAAGTAAAAAGTCTTAGTATACAAATATGATTATATTTGATTTATACATTATTAAATATCTTGACGTGTGACTTTTTGTAATCTAACAAGCATCTGTCTTCATGTATCAAAGTTTTATATAAATCTTATATTACAAAATCTGAGATATTATGAAGACTTAATGAAGAAATATTTACTCGATCTTTATGAACAAAATTGTGTATACTTTCTGGTGTACCTAAACGGCCTTAATAATCAAATCCTAAATCAGTTTTTTTACTAAAGTGGTCTATAATAGTAGGTCTGTGATAAAACAAATAAGTATGTTGATAATATTTAGTATCAAACATAACAACAAATCGCGAAATAATTACATAAGTCGTCGAGCGTGAGATACCGGGCGCAATAGTATGTAATATTTACCTACTATTAACAGATAATAAATTATTCCAGATTTTTTTTTATCATATAATTTGCATATTTCTAGCACTTAGTACTTTATTCACATTTTCTTTTGCAAGCATTTTTTTAAGAAATTATTAGTGATACATTTTTTTTTGGTTTTTATCCACATTTGAAATACTTGAAACACGTGCCCATTGTATAACAGAATATATAACAGAATATATTCAGTTATACAGAAAATAAATCTTATCCTAAGTTAATAAACATTAAGTTAAAATTTAATGAATGATGCCTTGTAAATATAAGCTTTGTGCAACACGGCTATCCAAATTAATTCAAATATACATGATTTAATAAGATTTCAAAACAAAAACATTGATGACATCACGAATATTGTGTCAACGCAACAATACAAAAAAAATAAAAAAATAGAAAAACTAAACTATAAAATTTCACTTACCTAAAATCGTTGATTGGATAAGAAAAGTGCGTATAAACCCCATCATGACGGTACACCAATGTGGTTCTCAGTAATTTCTGATCAAAATTCTAAACAATGATATTTTGTCACTAATGATGGCAGACAAAGTGAATGATATCCACTTTATAGATATTGCTTTTTGAAAACTCTTGACGAAGCAAAATTTGATATCAATTCACAATGTATTTCACTCACTATCTATCCATAAAAAGCAAAGCGAAATTCTATATCAATTCACAATGTATTTCACTCATTATCCTTAAAAAACAGTTAGAACATCTACTGGCAACTGCTTGGTTAAATTTCCATTCTTTTGAAAAATGCCGTTTGTCACTTTTCATTGATATACTTCATTATTTTATCAGTAGTGGTAAGGTGATAAGATATAAGCAAGCACTGCTCATGAACTGTCTGAACTGGCAATCATTTCGCAGTCTTTAATAAAAGTCCTGCAAAGAGTAAAGAAACATTTGATTATATATTTGATTATTATGACACATCTGCATAATATAGTATTATATATCTAGTTTGTGTCTTTTACGGCGGTATAAATGAAAATTGTTCTTATCCGATTTTATTTATTTTGTATTTGCTTTTTAGAACTGTACCTTGCTTATTGCTAATAGTTATCCAGTATACTGAATTTGTGAACAAAAATACATTTAATGTATTGCAAGTGCATAATAAATAGTCTCAATTCCTGCAGAATTTCGGCGTTTGAAAATAAATTTAATTTATTTTAAGTGCATAATAAACAGATTCAATTCCAGCAGAAATAAGCCGTTTGAAAATAAATTTATCCGAGCTGAATATTGTATACACTTAACTGTAATTATTTTGCACGTGTTGAAACATATAGCTAATGTATCTTTATGTTTCCATAACAATTCCACTGATAATGTAATTGAATCAATGATAGTTTTGGAAAAATGTTACCCGTTTTATTGTGATTTACAACAGGTAAATTGTCCTATTGTCCATAAATTATCACCACGGAAAGTAAATTAATAAAGCATACGTTGCTTTACAAGCAACAAAAAGTTTTGTACTAAAATATATGTCCTTCTTCAATTTTGATAAAGTATATTATTTCTTTCAGTAAAAAAAAATTCGTTAACATGACAAAAAGATATTTCCTTCTCAAATTTTAATAAAGTACTGTATATTATTTCTTTCAATTATGACAATTTCGTTTTTGTTTCGTTTGTGAAAGTTTCACTTTAATGCATTTAAGAATAGGTAATATTATAAACAAAAAACATTCTTCATGTTATCACAGTCAACAATTGTTATAATACAGCCGTATAATAGGACTGTAAATCTCCAAGTATTATATCCCAGAGAACAAACATAAAAGCCTATATCTCAAGCTATAAACTGCACAACTTACCGCCAATGAATAAAATCCGATCAACAGACACTCTGTTATCACTTTTGATAAAGAAGAAATGGTTTCTATGTATTCGGTTAATCTATCTACACGAACCTTTACTGAACAATATTTACATGGAAATATATATTCCATAAAAAATAACATATAGTCTGACAAGCAGAGGTTTTGATGTTAAATCATCAAGTCGCCGGATAGAATAATGATTGTATTATCATAAATATAATACTATATCAGTTTAATTAATAGTTCAAGTATAAAGAAAAGGAGGAACAATATGTTGAGTAACTGTTTATTCACAATAAAACATCATAATTGAAGCAAACTTGCTTAGAAATATTGACAAGGAGCTGCTATGATTATTTAAGCAAGTATTGTTTGGCAATATATTGACCTGAGACTTATTCATTTTCGGGAGGTGTTTTGTTAGTTTACGTAACTTATTATGATTAATGCTAAAGATTTTATTGATAGTATAGATCTCGATATTAAATCAATTAATATTGCTCGATGGCCTAGTGTGGTATGTATGACGAAGATGTGACCAAGTAGGCCAAGTTCGAATCTTTGAAAATCCTTTTTTGTAGTTTTCATAAAAATATTTTGTTTAACTATATGAAACATAAGTTGATAAACCGTGTGTTTGAACGTTGACAGAAAGGGCCAAGCTTGACCCTTTACCAAGAAAAAATGAAAAAGTTTTGAAAATTTATTCTTTAATGTGTAAATTATGAGTATACAGACCTTTCCAATGATATACAATATGATCAAACAGATATAACTAAGTTTCAATTTAAGTAATGTGATTTTATTCTAAATAATAAAACAATAGTTCCTAAATAGAAAAGAAGAATGATGTCATGATTAAGATAATAAAAAAATTTATTATTATTATTATATACCTCATTTCTATAGCACTCTTTTCATAAATAATAAATGTTCAAGAGTGCTTTACATAAATCCGATAAAACATAATCATATATATATATATAAGACATAATGTACAATATTTATTAAGTAAACCTATTAAACAATAATGATAATCTAAAACCAGTAAAGGATGGTAAGAAATACAGACACATTTAGTTTAAAATCAAGGCTCAATTAAAATTTACACTGGTAATATAGCAAAAGTAGTACATGTATGTTGATTTATGAAACTAACGTCCATAGAACTTTATGAAATAATGTGTTTTGAGAGCTCTCTTAAAACTTGGCAAGGTATTACAGTCTCTAATGTCAGGTGGTAACGCGTTCCATAATTTCGCTGCGGCTGTCTAGAAGCACTTGTCACCATATCGTACTGTCCGAGATTTAGGCACAACTAATGTCATTGAGTTATTCTGGGACCTCAGATTCCTGACTGGGATGTACACGTCTATCATGTCTTTTATATAAGCTGGTGATTGATCGATGAAGGATTTATATGTATAAGTCAAAATTTTACATTCGACCCGATACTCTACCGGAAGCCAGTGAAGTTCGCGTAAGATAGGTGTTATGTGGTCATATTTGAGTGTTTTGGTCACAATTCTAGCTGCTGTATTTTGAACATGTTGTAACTTGGTCATTGACTGCTTAGAGACTCCATATAACAGTGCATTACAGTAGTCTAACCTAGAGGTAACAAGTGAATTTACTAGAGATTTGGTTGCTTTAACAGTAAGATAGGGTCTGATGTGACCGATTTGTCTTAATTGTCTTAATAATAACAATTTGTGTTGATTCATGTGTGGTTTTGTTTTTTTGGTTTTTTTTTTATTTTGCGTGTTCAAAACAAAAACAACGATAAACCAGCTACTGATAATGTTAAGTATGGCAGGCCGGTATTCCGCCATTATTTTATGACGTAATAATATAATCACAGTTCATTTATAACAAATTGCATGGGGGCATATGTTTGCCTGTTGATACGAAGTAAGGGTTGAAAACCAGTGCATATAAATTTTCCGTACATTTTTATACACAAATTCTCCAACAGTCAATGTGTTTTTTCTTCCTTAGACTGAAATATAGCGTTTGCCATTTTTTGCTTGTTTTCAACAATATAAATATAAAACAAGAAATATTAACTTGTGGCCAATATAATTTGCAAAAATTCAAAAAAGTCGTAAAATAAGCTTACTGATCTCAGAAAACGTGCTAACAAATTTATCGATAATCATATTAAACCAAATAACTGTTCAGTAAACAATCGTTATAAAAGATCTATGACTATGGGGCAAGACACCAGGAACGGTTCAGTATTGACAGATTGATGAATATTGACGAGAAACTGCTACATTTAGCTGCAATGGTAAAGACATGTTGATTGATTTGCTGTTTAATATACATCTGTATCTGTTTGTCACAGGTGTGTGAAAAAGTACAAAAGGACTCGTGCAATTGATGTGATAATTTTGATATACCTTTATCCGATAAGGTAAACATAAGGGCCTGATAATGAGCGTCTTGTAACAGATGTAACGTGCTACGAAGTAACATTCCTAAATACAAATACATAAGCTCAATAAAATAATAATCTAACAATACATTGTCTCAAAATATTGTTGCATTTGTAATAATGTTAAAAATTTAGAGACAAATACAGTTACCGGAATAGGATGTTAGTGTCGTCGTTACACCCTTAAAAACGTTTTGATGCCAACACAGATTCAAATTTAATGTTTACAAGTGCTAAATTACAATTAGATAATCATGCTTTAGTTAGTTTAAACTATTTTGTTTTAGTTTGATTGTATTGGAGGCTAAATTATGGGAACAAATGAAATAATAAAGATATGTGACAGAATCATGAGAATGTATAAAAAATATCATACAAAACAACTCCATATGGTCAGATTATGCTGCATATTCAAAATAAAATTATCTTTGCGGATTTACATTAAAATGGATATCGCAAAGACAGAATATAATGTATATCTAGGCAGAATAGCTAATTTTTTTCAAATTGATTTAAAGTTTGCATGATATCTATATGTCCCCGAGAGTTGGAGCATTCTGAGACGCATGCATGGTTGTATGGTTGTATATGCTTTCGTCAATACATAAAATGTCAGTGGTCACGTAGTTGTAAAGCAAACGGACGCGATAAAAGCAACATAATTTATTTTTTATGATTCAACTCTATCATACATACCTCGTATATAAGACTTATTATTTTATCAAATCAACAAATATTAAAGCCACATTAAGCCTCAGAAGCAAATGATTTTGTAGTTTATTAGAAAGGGCAGAAGTGATTCTTGTAATGTTTAAATACTTGTTTGAAAGCATATTAGAAGGTTATATCGATACATGTGTAATAATTCGTCATAAAAGTAATAAAATATATAAAAAATAGTATTTGAATTCAATTCATCACTAACTGTACTTATTGCCGAAAAGCAACTCATGAAACAGATGATTCAGGTTTGGCCAAAGAGTCACATTTTGGGTACTTTAAAAGTACACCGAAACTGAAACGCTTTTGAAAAATGAAAATAAAATCATTTCTGAGGCCTTTAAGATAATCAAGATATTATAATGTAATCCTGGCGATGACTACATAATGCAATACCATGTGACAGTCAACACATTATATATTTTTCATTATCGTGGAATACATTAATTAAGGGATTCATATGTTACGTACAATTTTAAACTCTTAAAGTATTAGACAAATATGACATGTATTAAATTGTGAAAGATATTGTATTAACTCGAATTCCTCGATGAGTTTTTTAATACCATACCGCGTTTTAATCTCTCATTGGTATAATGATTATTGTTATTTGTAAGGAAACACTGCTGACTTTCATGTTCTTCTTTAAAATGTTTAGTACATGTTCCTTTCATTTAAATGAATCTTCAATAATTGAAAATCAGTTCATCTAAAATATTTTTGTTTTATTATTCTAAGGGACAGGCATGAAATAAGTGAATGCAACTTAACTTTTTTCTTTATTAAATTCAAATAAAAAAAATGAGTCTCATATGACGAGAATATTAGGCGTATAATTACGTCATTTTCGATATAAAAAAGAACTATATAAGTCTGTCCTTATCGTCATAAA